CATACCAATCACCTTACGTATCTTTCTTCAAGACAAAAAAGGGTCAAAAAGGTTTTATAATACTCTAATTAAATGTAATGTGTTACCATCGGGTACCAAAAAATGGAATAGTATATTTGATAATATAGATAAACAAACTTGGGATAAGTACTATTTAATGCCATTCCATGTAACAAAAAATACAAAGTTCCAGTGGTTCCAGTATAGGGTAATCCACCATGCATTAGCAACAAATTCCCTTCTTTTTAAAATTAGATTAGTTATCTCCCCTCTTTGTGTGTTGTGTAACTCTGAGCACGAAACAATCAGTCATCTGCTGTGGGAATGTCAGGAAGTACAAAGACTATTACAGAGTCTTGATATTTTGTTAGAAGCTCTATTTATCCCTTTCTCAGTAAACAAGCAAACTTTCATTCTTGGTCTCCTACATCAAAACTTCCTTCCGAGTAACAGAGTAGACAATGAGATTATAATTATTATCAAACAGTATATTTATAAAATGAGATGCTTACACCGTTCACTAAACTTGCATGCACTAATTAATACAATCAAAGATAATTATATGATACAAAAATATATAGCTAATGGTAAGGATGATAAAGTAAAACGTAAATTTGAGAATGAATGGAAAAAATGGGAAAAATTAATACAGTTTTGATCTACACACTTTGATCTATTACCCATCGCATTCCTAGTTTTTCTTTCTTTCTTTTTTTTTTTTATAATTTTTTATAATTATATACATAACAGCCCTTGACCATACCGAGTAATCAGATATAAAGAAAGAAAAACATTAAAAGATTAAATTACTCTAACCTATTTTACCATCTCACCCAACAATCCACTTTACTATTTCTTCATTTTCTTCAATTTCTTTCTCTTTAAATTTCTTATCCCTAATAAAGTTCTATTTCATTTCCTCATTTCTGTATGTTGATGTCAATTTATGGTTGTGTGTGTGTTTATGCATGTGTGCATGGGTGCATTTCAAACAAAAGTTTACTGTGATATTTATGAATCATAAGGTTCCATAATGGTTATGAAAGTATGAATCTTGATTTGATGATGATAATGAATTGTTGAATGTGGATGATGATGATGCATTATTTAGTATGTACAATAATCATGATAGTAATATTGATTGTGATATATATGTTGAAATGGATGATGAGGAAGATTATCATGTTTTTGAGGATGATGATGATGATGATGATGATGATGATGATGATGATGATGATGATGATGATGATGATGATGCATTATTTAGTGTGTAACATAATAATATTGATTGTGATATATGAGGATTATCATGTATGGTGATAATAATAATAATAATAGTAGTAATGATCACATGCATTGTTGAATGTTGATGATGATGTTGATGATTCTTTTGAATGGAATGTACTTGTTTGACACGCAATGACTATATGTGCACCTGTGGTTGGATGTGTGAGAGGGTGTGAGTGTATTTGTCCTGTTCAACGTGTAAAATCTTGAAGATATAGCCTTAGTGTTTAGACCAAAAATCTGAAATACTGAATATTTGCAAAGATTTGAAATATTCGGAAAAATAAAATATTTAGTGTCAGAAGTGGGATTCGAACCCACGCCCACATTCGTGGACCAGAACACTCGCCCCACCAGTACAGTGAGAAGATTTATGAAACCTTGAGTCTGGCGCCTTAGACCGCTCGGCCATCCTGACATATATATAGAGTTGGCCACCTGATATAACGAAACACCGAGATTGATCTTCTCACGTGTATCATATGATATCATCAGTCACACAGGCACGTGTATAATTCACGTGCTCATACACTCAACAGGGGCGTAGTTTCCATAGAAAGAAAAAGCCCGATCTTACACATAAAAAAATCCGTGCATAGGTTATGTCGGACAAAATTACAAAACTAAAGTTAGAAATAAATATCTAATATTTTTGATAAATAAAAAAATAGAAATAGAAAATTGTTGAATAGCTAGGCCTAGTGCATTGCTTTCCGGAACTTTATACACGTCATACTATTCTACTTCTTACTATCATTTCAACGTTTCCGATTATAATGTTATTAAAGTGCAAATTTTCAAAATAACGAAGAAGGCTTCTGGATTACAGACGTCGATCAACAAGTTTTTAAAATAAAATAAAGTCGAATCGAGTGACCACACTAAAAGTGACACATCAAAGACCGAAGGTACATGTAACCAAGATACGGAAATTGTCATGGATATTTTCGCGAATCAAAAGAAGAGAAAGTAAGCTTTTATTTAGTCAGGAGTTGAAGTTTTTTGTTAAATAAATAAAAAAAAAAAATCTGTCTCAGAAGACGATTCAAAACATCTTTGAAATCATGAAATTCATTTTCCGTCGGGGGCCTTCGCCCCCCGGATTCCCCCACCAAGGCTCTGCCCTGGACCCGCTGGGGGCCTAGGCGGCCCCAGACCCCTCGGACGTTCAATTCTAAATACACAAAACCAAACTCTGATTGAAATTGAAATATGCCATTTATTAAAAATAACAAATGCCGACAGAAAATATGTCAATTACAATTTCCTGTGCATAAACAGTACAGTAATCAACTGTACTTAATATTATCCAATCAGAGATATCCTAAAAAATATACCCAGGACTACAAAGATGGGGACCAAATTACGCCATCATATAGCCAAGCAATTCCATTAATGTTGGAATAAATTGCTAGCTATATGCCCCATCTTCAATAAACACATGAATAAACGATAGTGATATCCTGCTGGGATGCAAATTAATATTTTTTTTCCTTGCCACAGAGAACATTACCTTGTACTTCCTGAATTCTTAAAACGATGTCATTTTCAAAAAAGAACTTTGTTTCCAGGGTCGACACATTTGAAGTATGGTCCAACAAATAAGGGTTTTGGTCAAACTAATTGATTAAGGTCGGTGGATTTGAAGTCTACCTTGAAAAGGACATTGATCTCCTAATCAGCAGCTTTGGTTTCGTTCCCCGGCACAAGGAGGACTTTTGTTTCAAGCTTAAGGTCTGCAGTGTTAGCAGTAGTATGACCTCAAGGTCGAAAAATTGACGTTTAAAGTTCACACGTGGGAAGGACATCGGTCTCAGGGCCAGCAGCTTTGCTCTCAGAGTGATAACATTTTCGTATTTGGAGTTTTGTTCCTACAAGGTCATCAAATGGTCTCAGTATCGTCAGGTTGGAAGTTTCCTTCCCATAAAGAAGGACTTTGGTCTCAGAATCAGTGTTTCCGTCTGCCATATACATATTGTTTTAATTATGCCTTTGTAATGATGAAATAACATAAAATATATTAAGATTTATTTTCATATTATTTTCTTATGTCATCTGGGTTAGGATGATCTATAGCCATCGCTTTTCGTCCGTTGCGCCGTGCGCCTTCTGCCATACGTAAACCTTCCATGTAAATAACATTTTCTCTGTAACCAAAATACCAATGGTGTTGATATTGGGCCTGTATGATGCTAGGATGAAGGGCTGCCAAATATGTTAATACGTACATAAATGACCTTGACTTATTTTGAAGGTCACAGGGGTCAAACATGTTAAAATCTTGAAACGACTTCTTCTCGATAAGCAAGAGGCACATAGTGCTGACATTTGGCAAGTAGCATGCTGCACTGAATTCATAGCTACCAAGTTTGTTAAAATGCATGACATTGATTTACATTCAAGGTCTCAGGTGTCAAATACATTAAAATCTTTCAATGATTTCTTCACCAAAAGGCCATGGTGCTGATACTAGGCCTGCAGCATGCTGGGATGAAGGGTTACCAAGTTTGTTCATTCTATAGACCTTGACCAACTTTCAAGGTCGTAGGTGTAAAGTATTTCAAACTCTTTAAGCGACTTCCTTTCATTTACCAAAAGACCCAGGGTTCCGATATTAGGTCTGAAGCATGATGGGATGAAGTGTTACCAAGTTTGTTAAAATAAACTACCTTCTAGTGTTGGGAATCGGTTGAAATTTCCTGATCGATCATCAACTTTGTGTAACCGATCGATGATCGATTAAAATCGATTCATTCTTAATTGTCTGTTTTGGATATTATCCAAGTCTAAATACGTATTTTGTGTAATGTTTTAACAGCAATTCAGGTAATTACTATAATTGTACCATCTTTCTGTGTGTTTCTTATTTGCTTATTGCAGAGAATATTTTTTAATAAAAACAAATGTTGTTCTATTATCTTAATAATTTTACTAATGTTGAAAATAATTTCAATATTTAAATACTTTATTTTCATATATTATGATGATCGATGACAGATTCTTTACTCGATTAATTTATCAAACATCTCAAACAAGTGATACTCGATTAACTCGATTAATCAGAACAACACTACTACCTTCACCCTTTTTCAAGGTCACAGGGGCATGTTGGGATGAATTGTTACCAAATATGTTCATGTGATTGACATTTTCTCTTCTCAATAACAAAAAGACCCAGGCTTTTTAAATATAAGTGGATGATGGGCAACCGATTTGTTCAAATAATTGACCTTGATGTTCAAGATCTCTTGGGTGTAATGGCATTAAAGGATGTATGAAAAACATGATTTCAAGTTTTAAAAAATATATTAACCAACAATGTCTTCTTTGTCAGCTATAGAGTAGTTGGGCTATTTATTTTAGACCTATTTTGGCCTCCTTCATATATAGGTCTTTGTAGTCAGATAACCTTTAGACCTTTTAGGACCGTGGGCCTCTTGTTTAACGATACTGTAATATTATCAGTGTCTTCAAGTTTATTTATCTACAGATTAGTAAATATATATGTATATGTGTTAAACGCATATATGACTTGTACACTTAATCACGAAAGACACATGACGGCTAAAGTCACATTTGTAGTTTTGTGGACAAGACGATAATCTATGGCTACAGTTCAAAGGTCACGTGTGATATAGGTCAGTCATATAAAATGAGATAGTTCGGTTGCATTGTTACCCGGTACAGACCAAAGGTATCGCCGACACAGCTAACAGGATGGGAGAACAGCAGGTAAGTTAATGAAATCACAAAGTAGACACAGTAACTCAGTTTCTGTAAACACGATCGAAAGAATTTATGTGCTAAACATATGCCCAGTGTTAACATAGCTAACGGTTAGAAAAGACTAACAAAATACGTATTTAAATACATGTCTGCCTACATAGAAGTATGTCCGTGTGTAACCGCTAGGTGTACATGTTTACACAGCCTCGTTATCAGGGATAATGTAGCATATCGATGTACATGTACACACGTATACATAGCATGTCAAGACGTTAATATCACGTCCTTGGGTCCTAGAATTTCTAAATCAATAAATCAATTTCATGCTATCTAACTATGTATATTGTTTCTAATGATTAACATTCTATATACTGTACCTACATAGTAACATTGGTAATAATTGTATTATACTTGTTATAAATTCCAGATGTGCTGCACAAGGTACCACAATGAATTATAGGTCGCTGCGACCTACATTTTCCGCGTATTTCTATAAGTGAGATTTGTTTTGCTTTCAGAAATTCCTGAATTTCCGCATCGAGGGGACAGTGTCCGCTCCCTTTACACCGTTCAAGAATGACGGGTATTGATCATTTCCATTCCTAATTACATCATATGTATATAACATTGTCCATCAAATTCAAATTTGTTTGATCTTTGTGTCATCTTAGAAAATCAAAGGATTTCACCTTCGATAACAAATGCTGTGATAGAACGTTCTCCCTACGTAGCCTCAGGTAAGTCCGAGGTGTGCGGTTCGACGCTTCATACCTATGGCGGATTGCGTTTCTCAGAAAGCTGAGAACTGGACCGGCCTAGTACTGTGTCCTGGCTGTGTCCTTGGAAGATATATTATCTTAATTGCCCTGGCTGACATGCGGCGGACCTCGTGTATGCTGTTCAGTGATTTAGCCACTAGCTACTACAAGCAGACCCCCTCGAAATTGCCGTTCACAGGGCGATAAACAAACAAACCTTTGAATTGTATAAATGACATTCATCATTAAATTATTAAAACAAGAACAAAAGCATAGAAATAAAATTGCTAATTACGTTAAAGTGCCTTCATTTTGGGAAGATTTAATATCTGTATTGAGAAAGAATGAGTCTGGATTAATTGTCTCGTGATGACGCGGAGTCGCGTCTTAGTGGCTGATCGTCACTTCACTTATCATGCAAGAGGCCCACCACATGGTATCTAGGATGGGTAGAGTGTTCCGTATAAGGATATAACCACGATATCACAGGGCTTCAGGAGAACCACAGACCGCCTCCGTCACGAACTGATCTACACATCTCAGATCCTCACCTGGGACTGCAGACGTCAATGCTCCACCGAGGACTGTGTGTACGACAGCGAAAATGGGACTTTGGGATAACTTCGAGAGTCAACTGAATTATTCATTTATCATACTCTTTCAAATTTTAATTTCAAAATAATCAACGTAAAGAGATGGGTTTTTTCCTACCTATATTTCGAGATATGCTGCACATCACCAATTTTCGCGATATTTTATGGGTAAAAATTACGATATTTTGAAAAAAAATAGCATATCAAGAATTAAAGATACTGGAATGAAATAAGTTATTTTCAGCTGGTACAATAAACGCAGTTTTATATAGCTAGAATAGTCAAGAGATGAAATAAGAATAATGCTATCATTTGTATTCAGGGAAATCAACTATGACGTGTTTCCTGTGTATTCCAAGTATCTTCAGGACCACCACTTCAAGCATGCCTTCGGTAAGAAATTCTATTAATCGTCAAATCTATATCAAGATTTGTTTGTATCGAATAATACTTACAGGATTTGATATTTAGTGTTCTACATTAGAATATGACGTCTTGTTCGAAGCTAAATCAGAAATTGCTATAAACATTTCGGTCAATAATGTTTATTTGTGAGATTTTTATTTTCAAAGAAAACAATATTGGGTAAGATTCTCCAGTAGGTTTATAATGTTTAAAATGGAACTTAGACACTCTCAAGAGACTTAATGTAATTGGATATTGATGCATGTTACGTGAATATTGAACAATTAACAGTAATAAACTGCTTAACCCACAGTCAACGGCACTTTGGCTGAAGGCATGTCGCAAACCATGGACGAAAGGAAGAAAACGTTAGAGGCATGGGTGAAAGCAGCCGATGGAAAGTAAGAAATTCCGGGCTATGACTGAGCTATATGTTTCTTCCGTGTGCTTCTTCACTGTCATCCAAATTAATATCGTGCTAGTGAAATAAAAACAAATATGTAATTTTCATGAAATTATCATAAAATAAAATACTTGAAAAAGTCACAACAGAAACAAACTTGGTTGAAAAGACCCTGAAAAGGGGGTATTTTCAATATATACAAACGACTTTTATCATATTTAGACATGATTGTAGGCCTTGTTTTTGTTTCATGTGATATTTGTGAAAAGTTTTGCTAACTAAAATTAAGAAACAAAAAAAAAAAAAAAACAAGAACAAAAAACAAAAAAAAAACAAAAAAAATGTTAGAAATGGTTTCACAAACTGCCGTATGGGGCTGCACGTTATGTATACAAAGTATAAGCTGGGAAGCGATTTATACAATTTAGTTCTCTCGAGAAGACTACACTATCTTTTATCATAGTAGTATATTAAACTAAACTGCTCCTTTATGTTGTAGAATTGGGATAATAGCACACGTAGGAGCGAACAACCTCCGTGACGCCAAAGAACTAGTAAGAAATTTATTACATAAGATATAACTGATCATATTCAGCGTAGTTGTATTAGGTAAATACAATAATGAATATATGAATATAGATATTTAAAATTATCCGGCATATCTTGTATATAGTATACTTATATAAATGATAAACTAAATGGGTTAGGTGCATGGACTTCCTTCGTTTACATAACACACAACAGCTGTGATGTTAGTTGCTATATACAATAAATGATAACGATTTGGTAAATGATTGCATATAACCTCTTTTTACATCAGTGGTGTTCCTTTAACAGTCATTGATCTAAGAAATGTCTAAGAAAGAACGATGCACGAGAAAAATTTCTTTCATGATGAATGAAACACAATTTATTGATGACATTAGAAACCATTGACCGTGCCTTTCCTGCTTTAGGCCCGCCATGCCGAAGAGAGCGGTGTTGAAGCCATTGCAGCCTTCGGCCCTTCATTTTATAAACCAAAGGACGAAGGTAAACTGGTGTGATAATTATTGAATATTACAATAAGCAATTTATGCAATTGTGTATTATTTGTTTTTTGCTCAGTGGTATTTTTTTTAAAAGATTTTGAGTTGTGGAAGATTTTACTTGTACATAAGATCAAAGACGACCCCTTACCTCGTGCTAGAGGGAATTTCTCCTCATCTCAGTGCTAGAGTGCCCGACTAGAGACCTGCAGGTCGCCGGTTCGACCCCAGGAGGCAGTAAACTATTCTCTGTCACAGAGTGATTTCATTGCTAAACGTACCGTTAAAGGTCGATAACACGTGATTTGGAATTTTGTCCAGAAGTACACTGAAAACGAATCATTTGAGAAAAATAAATATTTTAAATAAGGACATTGCTTTTTGTATGTTATGGGATATTTGTTTTGAAAGTTATAAAGATAACATTCTTTCATTTACTTCAACAAAGAAATATTATGTAGAATAGCAAAAGGATTAGACATCGGGCTAAAATCTTCTTTTAGTATAGAGCAATGCGTTTTAGTACAATATCAAGAACATTACAATATCTCATTATTGTCTTTCTTTCCTTTCTTTCATTGTGAACGGAGATATCATAAAATAGTGGTGTTTACCTTGTTCTTATTGAGGAACGTAACTTTAATTACTTTGATAATGAAGAGTTACATGATGGAAGTCGAATCAGAGGACGCTTACTCTTCCGGAACACTTTGTCTACTTCTCCTAATTCTGTTTCAGGGGTTGCTGTGTAAATCTATCTTCTGGTAATATCATATATATGATAACATTTGAGTTTGAAGTAAGATTTTGTTGACATGTCAGTATTTTTTGTTTGTTTGCTTTCGTATTAGCATTGTTTATATTCACCAGAGGCCTTGGTTGACTACATGGTAGAGTTGGCTGGAGCGGCACCAAGCACACCGTTCTTTTACTACTGCATCAACTTTGTGACGGGAATTTATTGTAAGTAAGCGTTATCCGTACATCTTCATCTCATATCCATCTCATCAATTTTTAGACACAAGATGGATACAGGTAGCAAATATAACATTGTTCTCCCCGTTTCAATAACCATTACACTTTTAGGGATCTTATACACGCGACAGAAAAGAGAAAATTAACCTTAGTATGATTTTGGAAAGTTTGATTTATTTTGTTTTTGAGAAAGAGCGTGATTTGACTTTGTAGTAAATTCAACAAAGTTTTTAAGACTTGCCAAGGACAGGATCCCAACCCTGTGTGGACTGAAACATTCATCCAGGGAACTCACTAGTGCTCACAATTGTAGTTTGGTGGACAAGGATCGCTTCCAGGTTCTAATGGGTACAGATGTGGTAAGTGTAGTTTTTCAGAAATAACGCATCGTTGTAAAATGCTTCAGAACTCGTTTTTAGTATCGCAAATATTGATATTTTCTAGGCATTCTATTTTCACCATTTTCCAGAACGGTATTATAAATAAATCAATAAGTAAATAACAAAAAAAAAAAAAAAAAACTTAAAATGAATAAACGCCGAAAAAAACTGTCCATTTCATGACATCTATCAAAATATCCATTTTGCTTCTTGCCTTTTGTAAAACTGCAAAATTTCGAAATCTCAATAACGAAATTTATATCATTTTCGTTTAATTTTCATCAAGAAAAGAATGTATTATGATATATGCACAAAATGATATGATATCTAAGCGTATGTGTGATTTACTTCAAATGAGTTTTAAAAGGATTAGTGATCGCCAATCGACTTCAAGTACGGTGTACTTGTAATCGTGAATATCAACAAATGTTAATTGATATGGAAAATTACCTGTAAGTTGATGTTTTATCATACACTTCCATACGTTTTAACAGCAATTCATAACGTGTTTGAGCCTGAAAATTGATACACCAGTAGCAGCGTCATATTTAGGAAGTCTCTACTTCAAGCTGAAGACAGCTTACGACAAAGGAGATATGGCTACTGCCCTTCAGCTTCAGGTGTGTTATATATTTCATTAATTTTCATGGGAATTTTATTTTCGTTGAATTCGTGAATACTCTCAATCCACAACTTTTTATGTCCATGATAGGATAACAGATAGAAATTGACACGGTCTTTTGTTCTAGTGGATTTCGGGAGTACAATTTCCCCACCACGAAATAAAGTGCTGTCGAAAATGCATTTACCTTGAAAACCATGAAATTTGAGACCCACAAAATCATATGGTTTTGCAGTATTAAATGTCAAAATAATACAAAGATATATAATTATAAAACTATTAATTTGATCTGTGTATACTTATTTTAAAAGAATTAACTCATTCACCAATCTGCAGGAAACAGCACAGACTGTAAACAATGTCAGAGACAGCTTTGGTGAGTACACGTTTACTCTCTTTTTCATTTTTATTTCAATTAAATGAATAATATTCAAAATGGGGTAGACAACACACAAAAACCTATAAATGTTCTAGCCTTACAGATGGACTGATAAATTATATACGGACGGGTTTTGATAATCGGTACTAATATCATCACTTATACACCACTGACAATCGAAATAACACGACTACAAATCACTGTCCTTATATCTTGTAATTGGCCTTTTATCCTAGTTATATATATATATATATTAAGCAAAAACGCCTGACCCTCTGTATGACTAGTCGTGTACCTCTGGGTCACGGGTTCGATTCCCACCTACAGGGGGCATTTTGGATGTTGATATTGCTCCCAACTTTGGTTCATATTTCTTCACCCGGCCCGTATTCATGAAACCGTTCTCATGCTCAAGCATACATTTTACGCTCAAGCAAAGTTTTTTTTATTATAATTCACCTAAATCATATAAAATAATACAAATGTCAAATATAAACATTGATATACAACTTTGACTTGAAGTCCTTTCAAACTTTGTTTTTTAATCTTTTGTAAATCAGCCTTATTTGTTAATGTTTAACTTGAACAGTACATAAGGCTTGAGCACAAAATTTTCATGTATACAGGCCCTGATCTCATTAAGCTGGTCATCGATCAAATTTATAGGGTCAAAAGTCACATGTGACAAATTATGCGAAATTATCAAACAAGGATATTTATTTATATGCATGGGGGCGGGGCATTAATGTAATACAGATATTTTCTTATTTTGAAATAGTTTTCGTTTGAATTACCCGTTTTCTGTTATATTCTTCTTTATCACATATCATCAATTCTCTTCATCTAACGAGTACAATTATTTACGATTATTCCTCATCCAACCATTTTACAATTGTTGTAAATTTTGTGGAATGATATAAAACGATGACACTTTCTTATCATAATCGTTGAATCTGAATAAACATTTCCTGGAATTCGTCCTCAATCTTCCCAGGTGGGGACATACCAGTCGCAAAGAGAATGTTCACCATTATATCTGGTGTCGATGTTGGACCAGTGCGTCTTCCACTGAAAGACATTAGTAAGGAAAAGGAAGAGGGTTTGAAGAAAGCGTTGATGGCCTTGGATTGTTGGCAATGACGAATTCGATAAAGGGGAGAGTTGAAGTTCTGCAACAACTGCATGAATTGATAAGAAGAAACAAAAGACGTTTAAATAGCTACGAGCAAGCAATAAAATGGATCGTTTTCTATAATTTAGATACGCGTGATTGCTAACTTTACTCGAATCGTGTTGTATCTGTTTTTATTTTCCTGAATATGGGAAAACTCACAAAGAATATAAATTTAAAAGTACATCAAGCCAAAAGGGTAATGTAATTTCACTGAAAATGCGAAATGATTTTCAAATAAAAGTAAAAATTTACATGTTATTCATTTTGTGCAGTTTATTATTTCAAGTATACCAGCTGTTGGTTAGACTAGTGGGCATTAACACAATATCAAAGGTTTTGACGATATTTGCGTGCTTACTGTCGACTGGTAATGATATGTGAAGCTATATGGAATGAATAAATGAATGATATCATAATGATATTATATAGCTATATTATATAAGTATATAATGAAACACACTATATTTACCTCTTAATGATGTTGATTGAACATATCAACTTCAATGACATTTCTGATCTTGTTACTCATTTGTTACTGTTCGTAGAATGCAAGTAATCTAAGAGAACCTGGTTCATTGCCATAAATAACAATTTGTATCGTTGTAAAGGAACATAATCAAAGGCAATGGCAGTTTCATGTAAATTTACCAAAGCCAAATTAAAATTTAAACTTTTATAAGGCATGTGCCCGATTCTTGACAACATCTGTCCGAGTCAATGACATGTATTAAAGAATATAGCTCAATCGTTTGTTACCCTACCGGACGCGAGCTGTTACAAAACCAGAAACAACGACGGACGAACAACAGGTAGGTTTCAGTCTAATAACACATCTGTGGGCCAACAGCAGATTGCAAAATAAAAAACACGGGCTAAAAAGATGAAAACTACATTTCATTTGTAAATTGCTTACACAGTGTTAGTCAAGCACTGTGGTATTGTGTTAGATTGTGATAAATAACCAAGAAATTTAAATTATATAATACAGTACATTCGTATGCGCAAATACTTGATTGATAGTGTATTCATATCGATATGTACAAAAAAGACAGAGGCAGAGCATTTAAATACAAACAGTTAAAACATCATGATATATACCATGTTTGGAGCTCTTCGGAATTTTGATGAAAGAAACGTATGTCGGTCACAAATATTGTGACACATACTGAAATACCATTTTCAATTTGGACCAATATGACGGACATACTTTATTCGAAATTTACATCGCTAATGACAAAGAGTTTTAACTAATTAAATTAACACTAGTTTAGACTCTCGCAGTATTTAACCCAACAATCAAATAATGAATTTATGTGCAATGTGCAATTATTTTTGATAGTTAAAAAAGTCTTGGTTTTTACGTTTAGCTTAAAGCAAAATTGATATACTGTTACAAATAAAGACGACCAAATACTTTTATCTTTGTTTTCCTCGGGATATTTGCTTTTTGTTGTAATTCAATATCACTATTTGCAATAGCTACACATTTATTTCGCTTTAATTCCTTTTTATTTCGATCCAATTTCAAATCGATTTCATACTTTTCCATATATGATTGTCATATGGAGGTCCGTTCCGTGAATAAATGTTATGAATTTATTGAAAGTTAAAAACATGCCCAGGAATACAGGCGCATTAATTGATAAATTGACAATCCTGCTAGTTCTGTATGAAGTGATATTTCGGTTCATTTGTAAGTACATGCTTACGCATATCTATACCTACGCTTCGCTAACACTAACTAAATAGGCAATGTATTCGTCATCTCTTTCTGTCAGAAGGAATCATCACATGTTTGCATTAACGAATAATTGTTACAAATATCTGGATAAAATGCTAAGGTCACTGTGTCAAAAACTGAATTTGAATTGCCTTATCACCATTTCTATAACGCATTCGGTAAGATGATATATCCAACAGAAATAATGTACACATTTTATAGACTGACCGACCATCCCTTTGTCACGCCTCATTCTAACCTAAATATTTCCAATATAGTAAATACGTAGTATCTTGTCTTTAATGCGCACTTATCTCTGATTCGTAACGAGAAATATTTGCATTATTTCTTTGTACATAATTCAGTATTCCGAAAGCAGCGATTGCACGTGTATTTGATTGACTTGTGATCAGTAGAATGCAGTACATTAAGAGAATTTGAAGCGAGTTATTTCCCTTCCTACATTTACAAATGACAAGTTTGATAACTTAACATCGAGGTTATATTTATTTTTCATCTTAGCAACCTATTTTGTTATTCCGTTTGAACAAAACGTTGCCAGAAACGCTGGAATTTTGTCCTCTTTTTTCATTTATTTTTTTCTTTTGAAAATAAATCTTACATATCTAAATAGAGGAAATTGAGTGTATCTATCAGAACACTATCCAGGCAATACAATTCAGGGATAGATAAATGTTTTATAGTAATATACCGACAGAATGCAATCCTAAATTAACTTTTTCTTAAGGCTAAATGGTTGGTCAGTTTCATTCCTTTTAAAACAAAACGAAATATTAGTAACATAGTAGATCTTTATATATAGCTTCAGGTAAGAGTGAAATAAAACTTTGGAATCATATGCTACTTCAGCAAATGATACCTCATAGAAAGTCTCTGGCTATCGAACAGAGGAAGGTAACTTCAGAATCATGGGTTGAACCAGCCAATGGAAAGCAAGCAAATCTAAACTATTGTCTTCATTGTAAAATACGACCTGAAAGTGAATTATAAAAATTATGAGCTTTTTAATGCGATGTCTGTAAATTATTTCTATATTAATCACAAACGAAAAATCATATAAGTGTGTATTATAAAGTTAAGACACTATTTTTTGTTTCATTCATAATTTTTCTGTCAATTACAGGATTGAAACAATAGCTCATACTGGAACGTATAATCTGGGAGATTCGAAGACCCTTCCTGATTCTTGTATTCAAAGGAACTCGTGTTTGTAAATTTACTTCACATGTTGTAGCAATGAGGAAATACATTAGTCTAAGGTTTCTGTCATAAAAATAATTTAAATTATTAAAAATGATCAAACTCTTTACTGAAGGCTCGCCACGCAGCAGACGTCCGTCGGTCCGCTCATGCAGAAAGAACTCTTGTTATCACAACATCTTGTGACATACAGGTACCCAATGTATCATTCTAAATTTTGATGTATGGCTTTCCCTGTATCCGATTCAAATAGCGTAGGCTGCCATCTTGAATTATGACGTATGTGATATATCTACATCAAATTCATATGATGTAATAGATATATGTATACTACGTCATTGTCTTCTCTTATGTCTGTATCAGAAGCACTTGTTGCCTACAAGGCTGAAGAAGCCAGGAATGCACCTCTCCTATCAACCATGTTACTTTATTTTTCTGTAAGTACTGTATCCGTGTAACTCAAAATTGTCCTCTGGATTTTTGATAGTCGTAATGCAATTTAAGTTTTATTTTTCTATTTAGATAAATAAATGTTTTTGAACTTATTTTAGAACGTGACGACATGTGCTGGATGGTGTCTTGAAATTATCGGATATATGGCAATATTATTGAAATATGGGGCTGGTGAACCTCCCTATCTTAATATTGATATTTCCTTCACTACGTTTCGATTTTCTTCAGCCGCCTCCGAGAAATTGGATGCTTTTCGCCCTTAATATAAATGTCAACACTTAAAAGGACGAAAATCGCAACAGTTTGATAAAGTCACTTCGTTCTAATGTATCTAATAATAAGTTTGTATTGAAAGGTGTTATTCACATGTGTGTGTTTCGAAAGTAAAGTTTCATATTCAAACAATGCTTGATTCTCAATGAACACACCCGAATTTCTACGCCTTGCTTGGTAGAGGATTCCGACTCTTTGCGGACTAAAACGTTCATCCAAACTGACCAGTGCCCATTGCTGTATAATGGCGGACAAGGATCGCAATCAAGTCATATGGGCAACGGACGTGGTGAGGTAACACCAAAGTAGACCCTATAATAGCAACATACGTGGATTCTGTTCCTTAAGTCAATCTTTAAGTGCGATTTACTAAATAGTTTTCCCTGTCAAATAATTCGAGATAATCAGTGACTACAAATATATCTTATTAAGAACATAATGAGGTTATACATTGAATGACTATTTGACCTAGATATCAATCACATTGATTTTAGAGGTACTTCCGCATTCATTAGTTGGATCGAGTTTGGGTCTTGAAGTTCATGCGTCAGTGGCTTGCATGGCTAATACGATAAGGAGGAGCATGGCGTCTACCATTCAATTCCAAAGAAGGTCAACAACATTTACAATAAGTCGGATTTTGTTCGGATTGCGCTCCTCTATTCGTCTGTACTAGATGTTACTAACCTAAATCTTGATACTGGTTACAATTACACTAATATCCAATCACCTGTTAATATAGCAAATGTTACTGTCTAGAAAGGAAAAAATCACAATAGGGAAAGTAACATTTATCACGATTGTCCTACCTACCCAATATTGGTTGTGTTCTTCAGGACAAAAGTGGACGATGTTAAAGGGCCTATGGAGTCCTTAATATCCACGTGCTAAATGTATATTCGATATACATAGCAATACACGCCTTTTCCAAATACCTTAAACAAGATTTTTTAAATTATGCTTTTACGATGCTTTCGGCCAAAACTGTATCATGATAAGATAGAAAGCGTGGAGATACTTTTATTCATTTTGTGGTAGTTACGTCAAATGTTTGTTCCTCATTCGCATTAATTATTCAATTAGGATTATTACGGGAACGAATACAACTCATAGAGACACTTAGGACACGCTGCGGTAAGAAATATAGATTAGTTCGCTAAGCTCTCATTTATGAAAACAAACTCTACAGATTTTACTCCAGTTTTAACCCATTTTGTGATGCAATGTATTAATTACTGCTCCGAATATAACTAACAAATGATTTGAACTTTTTTTATCTTCGATAGGCGGACTTCTACTTGTGGATGAAACACTGATCACGATATTATTAGGTCTCGATATGGAACCGGTATGTTTACCTTAGAAATATGTAAATGAGGAAGAGGAACACTATTTGAGGAAAGACTTGGATGCCTAAGGTATATGTAAGTTATCCTTAGTTTGATCTGTGTAACGTGTCTGTTTCTGTAACTATGGTAAACAAAGATACCATACAAAGTGATGGGAAGTTCACAGATTTGTCAAGCAAAAATGTAACACAGTTGATCTCTTTAATTATCAATTACACGGAACAATATATATATATATATATTCTACGTTTTAGTGTAGGAAGAAAACCACTGATATGATCTGTCACGTGAAATGCAGGCAGTTGTTGTAGATCAAGATCCATTCTCAAGCAATATCAGAGGTCTTTTGAATGATGATGAAAACTAAATCGATCGGAAATAGCAAAACGTCTTTTGTTGTTTAAAGGTTTCAAGTACTTTTAACCATCTACTCGTGTACTGGATGAATAAACCGATTGTGTGAGATTTTAAAAGAAAATATGCTTTGATAAACATTATATAATAGACGTTGAACAAAATAAACATTTTAAGAAATATAAAAAAACTTAAATTTATCAAAACACAATTGAGTACGATCGTTCGAAAAAAAAACCAAAAAACAAATGATATTCTTCTTGTTCAAAGCATTCTACTGCTTTTGATTAACGTATCATGAGCTTAATCGTGTTTTCGTGAACGTAAAACCCAGTAAATGAATAAATATATGAACAAAACCAAATAACCTAGGTCTTCGCATGGCTTACAAATGATACGGCATTGAAGTTTAGTTGATTTTGTTTGAACATTTGGCACCGTATATACTATATATACAAAATATGGCGAGAGATAGCTTCACGCTGGCAGTATGTGGTTGAGAGAATGTCTACCATTCCGGGGCATGGCGTTTCCAGCACTGATGTTACCACCTTATCGCGAATACATTGTTGTATCAATTTTTGTTTTTTGTTTGTTTTTTTTTTGGTTTTTAATTAAATTTGATTAATTAATTTTTTGGTGTTCTTTTTTAATCTTTATTCTAATTCATTGAGCCCATTAATAACGAACTGAACTCATTAATAGTGTAGCTATGATATTTTAACCATATTATAACCAGGATATTTTATCGCGAGCGATATTGTGATGAATTTGTGGTAATGTATATGTGATTAACGCCCTGACATGGTCGATAAACTTAAGAGGCTGAACATTATGTCCAATATGAATGTTATATTATGATGTAATTAAAAAAATGAAATAAAAGTGCATTTATTGATTTGCCGCGCGAGGGAACGTCTGCTGTACGAGACAGACGATACCAGACGGCTATCGATTTCCTAGCTCCTCATACATTTGTACACAGAAAAATGAGGAATATCGTATATACTATACGCTGATCCGCAGGCTTGAAGTATAAAATGTCATACCAATAGAAAATACAATAACCAGGTCAAAAATCTGTCAACAGGGCATTGACAGAAATAAAACCTGAGTATCTGGATGCTGTCGTGTTGAATATCCACAACAGTGAACATTTCTAAACTAGACGATTGAAATCATAACATCGTAATTTTGAGGCCTTGAGAGGGCAAGGATCAAACATTGCCCCCATTTGTATATTTCATATCTATGATGATTAACATTATAGGGAGACCACGTTTTAGTGGGTAGCATTCAATTCATGCACATATGAGAAACAGATAAAAGGATGCCTTTGTTCAACGGACATGTCTGAAGGTACTTGAACATATATAGACTAGGATAATTTCTGTTACAATAATATGAATTATGGCAAATACATGTGGAGCGAGCGTAGATTGATCTGGTATACCTATTTATAACCCATTTTTAACTGAAAAAATAGTAAACTGATCGGGATGAAGCATTTCAGGCCAGGGACAACTTTAGGATTGATAGTATGTTAAGTTTGTGGCTGGTTTTCTTCGTCCGTGTTACGTTTGTTGTTTGGTTAGCTATTATATTCCCTCATTCACCATATAATCATAACGCTTATCACTTTCCTAAGCTGTTTAAAGAACTCGTAATAACAACGGTAAATACTAACTTTTTTCGACCACAATTTATTTCACATTGTACAAACGAAATATAAAATGGTTTGAAAAAACATTGAGGTCTATATGTTCATTTGCACTTGTGGAATAATTAAAAGCACACCTACTTGACATGTACACATGGATATCTCACACTGGCGCTCCAAAATCCCACAGCAATTTCATATTTAGAACCTCTTTTATAACACGAAAATTGTTTTTAAACAAAACTTGATATTAACCGAAAATTGGTATAAAACGAAAATTGCGATATTGCTGCTGCTGACTGACAACGTAAAGATAAAATTGGACATCACTGACATCAATAAAGGCTACTTGTTTAACCATAGGCATACCTGATCATAAAACATAGGACTTTTGCCTGTATCCGAAGGATGAACATTGTCAAAAGATGAAATGCACGAAGTCATTCACCCGGATTTGTCATTCACATCCCTTTAATACGGGAACAAAAAAATTAAGTGAATATTTGCACAAAGTATGATCGTCCTCATACAAACAAGTACAAAAGATGAAATGCTTTCTCGTTTGCATAGGTTTAGAAGGCCGATCTCTTGAAGTGTCTTATGATGATGATGTAAATTGATGCAATCTCTTTTTCCCACGAGTTTGATGGCAGGTTATGGAAGACGATATTGAAATAGATGGTCACGTGTCTTTGTAACTAACTACTTCCGTTTCCTGTGGCGTAGTAGTAACCTCGACGGGTGTTGAAGCAGCAGCAGCAGCCTGAAAACACTCTTCATAAGAGGGAGGTAACTCTTGCTGTTCGTCTGGGGATTGCGTCGACTCCTCTCGTGTGGTCGTCGATTCGCTGATACACGCGGGGTCGCCTGTTGTCTCGACGACTGCGTCGTATGAAGGTGGGTCGTCATTGTAAATTGACAATCTGCAAGGATGAAAGAAAATTACAATACCACTACGTGTTCTATCTATTTCTTTTCTGCAGGCAATCGTATCTCATTTCCATAAGACCTGTCTACAAACACCGCCTTTCGAAAAGAGTTCCATATTGAAAAAAAATCAAACAGCATAACATCTTCTTAAGAGGAACACAAAAAGTACACATCGGTGTAATATTATCGTCATCGTAGAGGTTCATCTGCTTGATTTGATATGAAGTATCCACACTTCTAAACAACTGGAAATCAATATATGAAGGGGTTTCCATGAGTTACTCACTTTATTATCATGATCATCATTTCTGTCGGTATCTATGTCATCACATCATTAGTTGCTTCATTTATAACAGAATTTTCAGTTCAACAGTCGATGATATTTTTACACACATGATTCCCTACTTAATGCGATTTTATTCTCATTTACAACAATATATCCAAAAAAGTTCCTGTCATAGTTTGACATAATTCAAAAGTGGTGGCGTCTTTCTTTTATCACCTTCTTTGTTGATATTCTCACCCTTAATTTCATGACATGATTCTTTACTAAGATAAATATATCTGTATATATATGTTATAAAAAGGTCTGTAAAGCAGGTCTGATTGTGCACGTTTAAACTGACAACCACTAACTCTAGAAAAGATTCTAACATTGTCTCTGTAATCGAGCTACATTTCCATTTGTCTAGCGTGTGTTTTATCAGTTGCATTGATCTGGTCGCACTAATTGCCGGCGACGTGCGTGTGTTACTACAACCTCCTTTTAATCGGCTTCATTTCCTGGCTAGCTAACCAAAGCCAACGGGATGCCATATCGAGTGAAATTTATGTTCACTGATGCGGCCAATACATTTTTTGTTCAATGCACGCTTTGCTGTTTTTTTTTAAGTTATTCAATTGGTCAGAGATATATGCCATACCTGGGGTATTCATGGCCCTCTCCTATACTGACTACGCTGCACATCGTCATGGAGTTGCTGCTATACTGCAAAAATGAGAAAGGAAGCTTCTATAGAATTAGGTCAGGTGATAACGGTAAACAGTTTACTACTGGTGTGTGAGATAAGTGCCACGGAGAATTACTTCGGGTTGGGGTTCGGTGTGTCTACAATAACAGTGCTTGCTTCTGTAACATTATTAAATATTTATTTGTTTTCATTCTGACTTTTATCTTTCACGTTTTAAACAAAACCAGACGATTTATACACAATGATATTAATTTGCATAAGTGAGAAGAAACCTAGATGATTTCTAAAATTAAAGTTCGTTGAAAAAACTTCTCTAAAAATTATTAATAAAAATCTTTTTTTTTTTTTTTTTTTTTTTTTTTTGGGGGGGGGGGGTTGTAGGTCTTGTTATTGGTGAATGCCTTGTTCAGACGCGACTCTCCTTGCAATCTAAATGTCCACTTTTATAATCTCTTGAATTCGATTAAACTAGACCCATATACATGTATGAGCAAATATGTTTGCATCTCTGTAAAAGTGCAAGGACATGAAATCTAGATGTTCCAGATCATACAATTATTATTATTTATAGACAATACCCGCCACGGAATTTGAAAATGTGACGTTCTCAAATGAGAACAAGGTAAACACCAATGGATTTACGAGACACACTAAAACGCACATAAAAACGTCAAATTTTACATAGCACAAGGAAATAGTATATTTTCTAACGAGATCATTTTGACGACCAAGAAATCCTCTGTTAAGAGATACATGGGTCAGGGAGAGGATTATTGCTATCTTGAAATGAACAATGCCGAATCTGGGACTCGGAATCATTACGCATATGATACACTTTTTTGGAAAGCTGTTCTTGTCGGTTTTGTTGTTGGAGAAAAAGATCATAGCAAGCGACTGATGTATGTCGCGTACTTGATTTCCAGCTGTGGTGGGTATATTTGACGGACAAGGTCAATATGGTTTTGTTATTTAAAGACAAAAAATTGAAAGCTAAATTCAGAGGACTCGGTAAGGTCTTTTTGGCATGTTTTAATAGATTAAATACCTCCATTATTGGCCTGGTGGAAATTTCTCCTGTGTAGCTTCGAATGACGAGCCGCTGTGGGTTGGTGGAATCACCTGGTCGGATATGATTGAGAGCGCCTCTAGCTAGCACAAGAACTCCTACGACAATGAGAATTGGACCAGCGTACCGTTCACTAGTTTCGCTGTCGTGGTGTTCCAAGTTCTGGAATGTCAGTGATGTAATAATGACGCCAATCACAAGAAGAATCAGACCGGATATGATGTAACAAAGAGCATTACCAATCAGAAACAAACAGGGGTTTCCATAGTGAAGATTTCGATGAGCATCACGTGGGCGCCTCCATGTGATAACAGTTTGCATCATAGACTAGAAGAGCTGAAAATGAAATCATAGACGAAGGATTTAATATCAAATGTCAACTGAATACTGTAAAATAATTCATTTTCGTGGTGTTGCAGGGTTGGGGTGGGGGTGGGGTTGTTTTCCTTGATTGATCTCATGGACACTCTAATTCCACGAATTAATGTCATATTCATAAAAACATCAAGAGTCCACGAAATTGTTTTTTAAGCACGAAAATTGAACTTCACAAAAATATACGCTTTAACAGCAATCATGTATATAAAGGGACGTAGCAAGGTGTACTGTAGAAATTAGGATATCCTTTTACATATTCTTGTGTTCCTGCAATAGATCATGCAATTCGACACCAGCAAGCCAAAACAAATGGCGTTATTTCAGTTGAGACTCGCTTCTCATATCTTTAGTCTACTTTTATTATGATTTTTATCATATATAGGTTTTCGTTTGAAATCGAGTTAGAAAAAAATCGATATTGTAATTAGAATAGGCACTGGAAATAACACATTATTATGTGAGTCATCCCATTGACTGACGTTATATCAAGAGAACATCGTTCTCCCCGCCCCCTTCCAAAAAAAAAAAAAAAAAATGTGATGCCCTAGATTGCCTAAATTTTGAATGAGGGAGAGTTGAGCCGTTTTGGAATCTTTGGTGTCTTAACACGCAGAATCCTAAATAATCACAGGAAAGATATGGTGATCGTGTGATAGATACATATGAAACATTAGAATTCAATGGCACAAATAGAGGACTAATTTTTACTAACAACAAACTAAAATAATGCGAACGCCTGCTTTGTATTCAATATATATATAGTAATTAAACTGGTTGCTGTTTAAACGTAGTGATATTAGCAAAGCAACAAGATAAAATATCAAAGCACTCTATGTTGTTACAGACAGATATGAGCACGTAAAAGGAATAATAAATCAAATACTGTAGAAATATATATTTTCGAGGGACGCATATTATTTAATTACAAGAGCATCATTTTCGGTGTACTTGATTTCGTAGGTAAGCAGTTCTCACAAAATCCAGTTAAACTAAACATTCAAGTCAACTTGTAACTATTTACTATATCTTAGACATATGGATTCATAAATCATTAAAAGTACTTCCAATGCCAACGAGGATAATCCGCTCTCAAAAATTCAAGATTTTACAGTATCCAAAAGCAATATTGACTGAACAATTTAACATTTACCACAATATTTACTATGTAAATTTCCTAGTGCGATAAAAGGAGAATAACCCGACTGTTCATTAGAATCGAAATCAATTCTATGTGTAATGGCCTGTGTGTCAATCCGTGGAAAATTATTTTAAGAATTAGTGATCTTTTTAGCTGTTTTGTCCGTCTTGCTATGCTCGTTTCTGTTTAGTGTGCTGCAGTCTGACAGGAAGTCATTCTATAATGTTGGCGTTGTGACATTGCGACCCTACAGTGCCCAAGGGATACTGTGGCTACATAACCTTAGCAATTGTGACAAAATTTCCATACCCAAACAAAATATATATAAACAAATCAATATTACGTTTTAAGTTTCAATATGACGCTTGACGTCAAGTACATTTTACTGAAAAGGTATTGACTGAACAGTAATCAATGCGTTGAGAATAAACACAACTGGATCATTATTATTCTGAGTTTTATATATGTGATTTCTGTGTCTATTATAAGTGAAATAGGACAACGTATAGGTTTAAAACAATACATGGAAATACTAAATAGTTTTCCACTTCATATGTATTGACATTTTATCCATGGATGCAATGCTGATTTTCTAATGAATAGTCCCCGAGATTGTAAATGCAGATAATTTTAATAGGATTGATATACCGTACAGCGTGTTCCAATGTTACTAATTGCTTTCGTTATGCCTTTGAAACGAGAACACTAATATCTTTCAAATCTAAATATAGCTTTATTTTGCGTGTGTTTTGATGATGTCAGGGCGGATAGTTTGTAATATCAATAGTCATCGATCGGGTAAATGTATTGTTCACGGTTAGGAAAAAAATGTATCACTGTCACTTTAAGTATTAATTTGTGTTAGTCATGTGGAATGGTAGCTCTTGTGTTTTGGGCACCCTCGATACTTTAGGGGTTACTTTCGCTATCGCTCTCCGAACCCCTGAAACGTTTCATGGCAAAATTAAAGGCACAAGGCGAAGTAATTTGGTTGGTCTGGAGTGGGTTTCAGGAGATAAAAAAACAACTACAGACTGATACGTCCATTCGTAGATAACAAAGGAGCGATACCACACTTCAAAGCCAGTACAACATACCGTTATGCGACCTCCAGATTCGTTTGATGTACATCAAAAGATCACACTGGTCTTCCCGTCTTATTCATAAGTGTCGCACATGGAACCTTTAATGTTACCATGTTATATTCAAGGAGTGCAGAGAGTGGTAATGAGCGCAACCACTGGAGCATCGAGTATGTGTTTTGTATCATTCTCTTATTTTTTGTAAACATTTATTGTAATAGATATAAATACACTGTGTTGCAGGTAAAAGTACGTGTTGTTTCAATCTTGCTCTAAAAACAATTGCTGTATGTTTCAGTATAATAATAGGTTACACTGATGCATGTGGTACTAAGTGTATAAGCATCGAAACCTTGTGTGTATATATCAATGCATTAAAGATTGGTCCATACTATATGTATATATTACATATATTTATCATAAAATGGATACTGTAAGGGTACAATATTGAGGGGATATATGTTACGTTATTTTTGAGGTTGGATTAAAAATGTTTAAGCATGCATCTCGAAAACAAAATTCGTAATATCGAACCTATGAATATTAATTTTGGTTTGAGTTTTTGGTTAATTTGCGCAAATTTGAGACACAATAATATTGAAAAATAATATCTGTCTTATTTTTAAAATGCATCAATATAATGTTGGAAACAGTCCATGTCTTCACTATATGAATAATATTTTGGAATCATGCTTAAATGTTTAAAAGAAATATCAATCTCCACAAGATCAAAAAGCTACAAAATGAAAAATACGATAAAAATGAATTAAAAAAAAACACAAATGTGCAGCGCGTGAAGCTTCAAATGATGCTATATAAGGTTAGTGCTACAATGCATGGTTATTTGAGACGTTTTCATCAGCAACAATAAAAGACAAACAATAAATGTTATGTTTATAAAAACCCTTGACCCAAAAATGTCGCAAAAACTTACCTGTCATTAAACAAATCGGCATGCTCTCTGCTTGAGTCGGAAATCTCGGGTGGCTGTTCCGAACGAACGAGGGATAAGCCCAAACGATCGATAGAAGGCAAAGAAAGAAGACCCGTCCAAGCCTGTTATTCACAAGGTACGATCGATCGCACGACTGCAATGTTGTGTTGAAACATAGTCGTGCACATTCTGTTTTACCTTAAAAACACGCACACGTGACATTATGACTGTTTCCTGTAGTCTGTCCTCCCTTTGCTTGGTAATCGGGGTTGTAATTACTAGTTTGGCTTTGCTATGTGTAGAAAAAGAATTCGGGTGTCTTCCGCACTAGCACAAATACTGATGCCATGTTGGTCTCTCTCTCGCCTCTCCAACACCACCACTATCTAGCAATCCCGGGTCCGCCGCGAGAGATCACATATCGATCAGCTATTCTCTGTAGTTGTAGTTCTACGTATAAATAGCGTGTTACCTTACATAAGAAGCAACTCACGAGTAACTGGTCCGCATCACCAGGATACTGCCATGCTGCTAAGTTTTGAGAAATGTTATTTTCAGGGCTTTGCATTTAATCATTGAGACAAATTTCCAGCGTTGAAGAATTTATTCTTCTCAATAAGACAATAAAAAATCACAAGATAGAAGAACATTGATAATCATGATAAAAACAGATGCGACGATTTTGATAAAAACAAATGTGATGTCTACCTCGCTAATCGTGATAATGAAATTGGCAGTGTAACTTCGACATCAACATAACAACAATTAATATTGCTACACAGACGACATTTTGTTTTTGGTTTTACTTTTCCGACAACAAGAAAACAGTGGCGATCAGTTCATTATTTGTTTCTGTTGCAACCAGAACACAGTACATACTTAAATATCTTTCATTCTTAAAACAATTCTCTGTTCCTTGTGGTTTTAAGTTTCAGGCAAAGAAAAAATTAAACAGAAGCCATGAAAAAAGTTTTAGTTTTCTCTGCTATTTTTAATGTTCCTGTTTATTTTTGACAAACATATATATCACATCAAACAGAAAAAAGACATTCAAAAGCAATTATCAATTGAAATACATTTCCATTGTTAGGTTCCGACAAGTACTGCTTTCGAGAACAAAGGAAGAAATTAAGAAATGCAGCTCACATGTATTAATTCGAAATGGTGAAATATATGAACTGAATGTATTTATGTTTATCTTGTGATAACTCAATAATTAGTCTGATGCTTTGAAAAAGACCAAAGGCTAACATTTCAACAATATATAGAAATCAATAAGTTTAAATGGGATTGATTGAACGGTAATTAATCTTTTAACAGTTGCACGAAACAATACTTTAACGAACACGCATTTGCTAAAACGGGCGTCGTTACAGTATATTAGGAGGGAGGAGGGGCATTACTGCATCAGACCAAATACAGACACATTATGTAAATCAGCGAGACCCAATAACATCAACAGTATACGAAGGCATATACTACCTTACTTGGCTCATGCATCTGCTTTTACTGATCCTACTACTATCTGTATGAGTCATGCAAACAAAAAATACATACTCCTTTAAATCTATTCGTCTTAATTGAAAAATCAGAAGAAAAAATAAAAATAAATTCTGTTTCACATCTTGTCTCTGAAATATAGATTTTATCATATGCAACGTAGAATGTTTCGCTAAATATCGATAATATATTGTAACTAAATCGAAAATAATCTCTATTTCAGGCGATCACTGCTTTTTATTTTTAACAACAAAATTAGTTGTTGCAATTTGGCTCGTATCGCTTTTGGAAA